ACTTCACTAGTAGCTGCCGATGGTTCTGTCTTTCAAGTCCGGCCTAAAAGAAGGCTGGTGAGGCGCAGATCGTACACATTGTGTGAAATTTGATTTTTTGTTGTAAGACGAAAAAATAGCCTTACATTTATAAGCATCTGGTGATATTCCACGGAAAATAAATTGGTCAGCGCCTTCGAGACTCTTGACCAGTTCGTTTTGCCTCCATAGCTCCATGATCATTTTGTCGCAGTGATCTGCAAAAGAATACCAACTTCCGATAAGCAATGAAACTGCGTAATTACACCGGGGCTGTGTAATTTTAACAATTTCGCACCTGATTCTCAGGCCAAACAGATTTGACACTCTTTGATCCGTATAAGCTTCCCAGGCAGCCAATTCCCAACTAATTAGCTTCCGAAATAATTTTACATAGATTAGCTGGCAAAACGAGAAAACTTTGACACCCCTGAGCCATAAAAAGCTTCCCAAAATGGCTCCGGAAAAAAATCACAGTGATTTTTCCTTTCCATCCAATAAAATCAATCAGAAATTACTATTTTTTTTTTCTTGGAATTATGGTGTTAGTAAGCAAAAATGTCCAAAAGAAGTGAAAAAAAAAAAGTATTTCTGGCAAAAAAATCACGAATTGTCAGTGATTTATCCCAAGCTTTAAAACTAAAAGTAGTTTTGACAATTTTAAGAAATTTTGATGAAATGAAAGTGAAAATAAATTGAAAAATTTCAAAAATTTCGCACCTGTTTCTCAGGCCAACTGATTTAAAAACAATATATTCGAGTAAATTTTTTATCTCCATTATTAAATAATTCTGTGCATTTATGCCGTAAATATTGATTTCATTATTTAAAAAAAAAAAAAAAAAAAAAACGATATATACCAGTGCGACCACACAAACAAGTAAATCTTAATGGGTACAGCATGTCACTGGCCTTGTTGGACGCTGCGTTTTTCCGAATGTTACTTGCGAGAAAGTAAACGACCACTCGAAGGGCTTCCAAACCAATGACATAAAAACAGGCAAGATTGGTGGTGTTACATTCCTTCCATAACGCTTGTCATATGTTAAAATATCTAATGCTAGTCAGCAATGCACTACCTTGCTCACAATATTCTGGATAAAAGAAATACATTTCTTAGCGTCTGATCACTCGTTTTTACGCACTTTGTGCTGCGCAACAGCTGCACAAAACACATATTGTCACGGAGTTGTCCCTGTGTGTGCATGTGTGTGTGTGTGTGTGTGTGTGTATGTGTGTGTTTGTGTCCACAGTAACTTGTTTGTTATTTCGTCAGTAGTACACGTTCACCATTCAGTTCTACATAATATTACAGCAAGTTACTGCAAGCGGTGCTATCTGGACGTGTATAGCCTAGGATCGAAGCAACTGCCACAGCTTCTTTCGGCGTGTAGCAGCACCCAGTAACACCATTCATCACAACAGAATTCCCATGTTGATTTTCCAGCGGTCTTGTTATTCAGATGAGCGCGAAATTAGAAAAACTGTGAAAAAAAGAAAACTGGTTGAAGAAGAATGGGGGCTGGTAGAAGGAAGAGGGAAAAGAGGACAAAAAAAAAAAAACTAAAACAAAACAAAGTCATCTGAGATAGAAGAAAAAAGTCAAATCCACTGACGTATCCAGTATGATTGCCCAATGGAAGTGGACTGAAGGCCTCTTTATCTATACTTTACCTCGTCAAATCCACAAAAAGATATATTTGACGTGCTGGGTGAAAAGGATTTCAATCCACTTTTAGTGAGCAGTCAAATCTGATTTGTAAAAAACCCTATCCAAGACTTATATACTTCTGTAAGAACGGATTTTTTCGTGAAAAAAAAAAGAAAAAAACAGAAAATGCAGCACATATTAATGATGC